GGGTTTGTGCTGCCACCTGGTGGCAGCGGCCCGTGTTACACGGAGAGCTGCTCCTCTGCGCGCAGTCAGGTGTAAATTTCATCTTGACATTTTTGTTATGAATACACATGAAAAATGACAGTTTTCTGTGCCACTTAGCCGCTAATGATTGAACAGGAAAAAAACCTAACTGCTTAGGCCCCGCCGTTCGCCTGGGAGAAGTGATTACAGAGCAGGGGAACCTGCCCGGCCCGGGCCGGTGGGCGGGCGGCCGTGTGGAAACGCCGCCCAGCTAGCGGGTCTGTGCCCACAGGCCAGGATCCCGCCGTGGACGTGGCTGCGGATGCCCGAGAGAAGCCGAAGCTGCCACGCGAGAAGGACGAGGTAGAGCAGGCCCAGATTAAGGGCCCGGTGGACGTGCCCCCGCGGGAGGCCGCCAAGGAGAAGCAGGAGGAGGCGCAGCTGGATCGGCCCGGGCAAGGTGGTGCAGGCGGGCCGGGGGCACGGGGGCTGGGGCTCCCTGGGCCACGGGTCCTCCCTCCCCCTCCCCCGTCTGGCCCTTCTGCCTCCTTCCCCACGTCAGGCGGCTGTCCTGCCCCGGCCAGAGCAGCTGGGTTCCTGCTGCCCGTCTTATAATTTTCTGGAAACATCTGTCCTCGGCGGGACAGCTGTCAGACCTGCGGAGGTGGCCTCGCCAGCCTGGGACCACCATCGGGCACCAGAGCTCCGCTCTCAGCCCTGGGGTGGAGGCCAGGACCTCCTCCTCGGGCTCCCCAGCATGTCCCCTGTGTTCCAGGTGTGGCGGTGCCCATGGGGGAGGCCCACCGCCACGAGCCCCCCGTCCCTCACGACAAGGTGGTGGTGGACCAGGGTCAGGACCGGGAAGCACCGGCGGAGAGAGAGCACGGATCCCAGCACGCGGGCGAAAAGGCTCCAGGGGGCAAGGGCCAGGTGGTGCCACCTCTGCCGGACTCAGGGAGGGAGAGACGCGGACAGGCCCAGGCCCTGGAGGCAGCGGGGGGTCTCCCTGAAGTTAAGGTTCCAGAAGGAAATGGGCAGCGGGCTGTGGAGCCTGTGAAGGAGGAGCCAGAGCCGGTGGTCAGAGATCTGCGCCCAGGGCCCCAGGCAGTGCTCCCCGAGGGGCAGGACGCCCTGGGGGCAGGTGTGGACAGAATGGAGGGGATCCCGATGCCAGACCAGGCCCCGGGGGCCGTGGGCAAGCCGGTGGAGAGCGAGCCAGGTAGGTGTGGGCCTGGGCGGGCCTGGAGGGCCCGTGGGAGGGTGCGGGAATGACCGGTGGGCTGTGTGCGGTTTCTCCCCGAGAGGCTGGCATGCAAGGGGGGCAGCCCCCAGCCGCTGCAGGGAGCGAGTCCAGTGGCCCCACGGCTCCTGTAGGGCTTGTCATGTGGCTGTCTGCCAGGCCACTAAACGGCAGGGGCCACGCTGCTCCCGTGTGTCCGGGCACATGGGGACGGCCCGCCAGGCGCTTGACAGGTACCGCGTTGTTAAGTGCCGGCTGAGAGCAGGCTGGACGGGGCGTGCGTGCTAATTGGCTGGGTAGTTAGGCTGGCTCGCTGCCACGGCCTGGGAGATTGTTAAATATGTTTTTATTACCTCCCTGGTAATCGTCAGGTTGAACATAAACGGTGCTGACAGGGGAGGGGGCGGAGCGCGGGGTAACTTTAGGGAACATCTGCCACCTTTCGCCCCTCCTCCCCCTCCTGTTCCCCCTCCTCTGAGTCTCCTGCGAACCTGTCTTCACTGTGGTGCAGGTGGGAAGCCAGCCCCCGGGGCCGGGCAGCAGGCAGAGCCTCGCTGGCAGAGGGACTCAGAGGGACAAGCCGGGGGCCAGGCCGGAGACCTTGCGGAGGGACAGGCCGGGGACCATGCCGGCAGCAAGCTGGAGGGTAAGGGCTTTGCTTTCTCACTGCACCCTCCTGGGGCCCAGGGCACGTCCGCCCTTCCTTCTAGACCCCAGCGAGCGGGGCTGGGGAGAAGCCAAGGTTATCTTGGGGGACCTTTCCAGGCCCCCCCTCCGCCGCCCAGCTCCTCTTCGGGCACCACCCCGGTTCTTCTCCCCTCCGCCTGCTGCTCTGCCGCGTGCTTCCCGGCTCTGCCGTCACCCAGAGCGGTGTGAGCGATGCAGGGCGGGTCCCGAGACGCACCGGCCGTCCTGAGCTGCTCCCGGGCTGTGGGGACGGCTGCCGGAGCCGGTGCCGGGCGCCCTGACTCGGTCGCTGCCTCAGGAGCTTCTCCGCGCGGCTTGTCTCTGGGTTTAGTCTCCCTGTGTCCTGGCTCCGGGCCTGAGACTCTGCTCCCTAAACCCATGTGATTCTTTCTCTTTTTCTTTCTGGAAAGAGCGTTTTCACGGTTTCCTATTCTGCCTTTCTCCGTATGCCTCTCATTGGGATGAGCAGCTGAAATCAAAAAGATAGTCGCAGGTAGGAATCGAGAGGCGCGTGTGACAGGCGCGTGTGGAAGGGCAGGGCTGGCGCGGCCACGGTCCCGTCACGGCCCTGCACAGGCAGAGCCCGGGAGCAGGGCAGGCGAGGCCCCCAGCCCCCGCCGGGCCACGGCCCCTCTCTTACAAACACCCTGGTCCTTCTGGCCCTGTGGCGGCTCCAGTCACTAGGGGACAGTCTGTGAGTGCCAGTCGCTTAAGGCCCCGCCTCAGAGCAGGGGCGGGGGTCACGTGTGACTTCTGCCATGTGCGTGCCTGGTGTTAACACAGCGTGTGCAGTAACAGCGGGTGGCTCCCATCCGGCTGCAGGGCTGGTCCCTGTGGTCCTGGTGGCCACGCAGGGGCTCTGGCTGTGGGCATAGCCTGTCACCTCCACTCCGTTTCGTGCCTGTCTCGTGTGTGGCTTCTCCTTCCTGGCACTGGCGCGGGGCAGGTCCTCCCAGGAGCCAGCGAGGCAGTGGGGTCGGCTCCTCCAGAGCCTGCCCGGGGCCGGGTGGTGTGGGCAGCATGTAGGGCCGGCCTCGTAGCACCGGCCAGTGTATGGTCATGAGCCATGGGTGCCCAGGGGGACAGGGCGGCCCACGGCCAAGGTGGCTGGTTGGTCTGTGTGTTTCCCTCACCTAAAGGGAGGCGTGTGGATTTCTGACCCCATCCACGACCATGGTTTTGCTTAAGCAGGCGTTCTAATGACCTCGGGAGGTCTGAGGGGTGCCAGGTAGGGATCAGAGGCTGCCGCACCTTGGCTGGCTGAGGGTCCCTGCCCCCCGTCTTCCCTGTGGTTGGCCTCAGTGTGTTCCTCACAGGCCCACCACCTGCACGTCCTTGCACTGGCCACCTGCAGGAAACCCCTGCAGTCCCTGGGAGAAGGCTGACCCTGTACCGTTCAGGCAGGTCCCAGGTCACCGCTGGGAGGACGGCCAGCACGTCCTGTGTGCCTGGCAGGTGGGGCGTCGCGGGGCTTTTGGCTGTCCCACTGCAAACCTGCCGCTTCCTTCTGGTGTGGACTTGCCCCCTGGACAGCTCTGCGCAGTCACACGTCAGCGCGTCTTATTAAAGAGAAACGTTGTGAATGTCCCATACACCGGGCCCCTCAGTGAGCAGCGCACCCAGGCTGGAGCACTGGGTGGAAACGGGGGCTCCCCTTCCATGTGGAGGCTGCTGCAGGTGCAGGGGCTCAGCCTCAGGCCTCCCCTGGGCCATGTTCTGCGTGGGGCTGTGGACAGCTCAGCAGGGCCTGGCCACACCTGCTGCCCTGGCCTCCCCTCCATTTGCCAAGCTCCTCCTGTGCCGCCTTCAGCCCTGTCCTGGGGGGCGGGACCAGGAGCAGTGTGGGGACGCCCCACGTGTTGGCTGTGGCCTTGTCCCATGGAGGTCCCAGCTGCTCTCTCTGCTGGGAAGCGAGACAGTTCTATTGTTTTCAAAACGCTCCCCTTGGAGGGAATGTTCTGTAGGTGCCAGCAGTCTTTTCAAAATGGCTTCTAGCTTAAGTCACCCAGCCCAGATCACACGGGTGCCGCTCTGGCAGGTACCCCGTGAGTTAGGGTACCTGGGGCCCTTCCAGGATGTCTANGCAGGTACCCCGTGAGTTAGGGTACCTGGGGCCCTTTCAGGATGTCTGAGCCACAGGCCAGTGTGAGGCCAGTCAGGGCAGCCGCTGCCAGGCTGCAGAGCTTGGCTGTGCCCTGGGAGCAGCCCTGGGAGCCCCTCTGCTCCTGACGCCTCACTGGCCAGCAGGGGGCCGAGGAGAGCCCCAGGGCATCCAGGGAGGGTCCTCACAGGCAACTCCGGTGTCCTTGCCGAGGCCCAGCACGGGCTCTGACGGTGTTTTCCAGCCCCAGAGGCCGGCAGAGTGGAGATGCTGGACCATGCAGTCCTGCTGCAGGTGATCAAGGAGCAGCAGGTGCAGCAGAAGCGCCTCCTGGACCAGCAGGAGAAGCTGCTGGCGGTGATTGAGGAGCAACACAAGGAGATCCACCAGCAGCGGCAGGACGGCGAGGATGGCAAGTGCACCGGGCGGCAGGAAGGCCTGGGGAGAGGGTGCTTCCTGAGGCAGAAGCCACGTCCCCCGACTTCCCGTGTGTGGGTGGCTCTGGCCTGAGTCCCTCTGGGCGAGTGTCTGTGGCTCCTGCTCATTTCTGTGGCTAAACCTGTCTCTTCACTTGCAGTGGACGCACCAGCCGAGCTGGGGGTGGCTGCACCCAGGAGTAAGGAGCAGGAGGCCCACAACGGGGGGACCGTGGCGCATCCCCCCCTACAGCTTTTGGAACCTGAGCACAGGGCTCCTGGGCAGCCCGCAGCTCTGCCCCAAGGACACAGCCAGCACTCCCTGGAGGAGCCCAAGGGGGCTGCAGGCAGAGCCCCAGCCGATCCTCCCGGGGGTGTGGACACAGAACCCCGGGCAGCCCAGGCCAGACCAAGGGAAGGCCAGCAGGGCCCTGAGCATCATGTGGCTGTTGTGCAGGATCAAGCCCCAGAGCTGGGCCTCCCTGGGGCTCCGAGGGGCCCAGAGAAGCATCATGCTGAGGGCCCAGCTGGACAGAGTCTAGACATTCTTAGCAGAGGCTCTCAGGAGAGGAACAAATCCAATAAGGAGGCGGCAGCCGCTGGT